AAATATATATTATGGTGGTGTGTACTTTCTTTACTATTCAATTGTTATGATACTATACATGACGTCCTCCGCCCCTGAATGTTTCCGCCGTTCAGGTTTAGGGGTGTGACAGTAGGTCACCTTGACCGAACCACGTAAATATTGTGTCTTTATGTGCTTTTAGTTTTGCTTGTTATCCACGTTACTTCCTAACAAGGGTCATCAGAACTAGGCAAGTGTCATTAAATTTGTTCTGAGTCTTGACAAGTATCGCCTCTTTTCCCTAAAAGGTTCCTTTCGGGAATGTTAAGAAATAGGTCAAGAGGCCTTTGAGTCGTTCGGGTTGAGTATCGATTGTTGAATGATTTGTCAGCTTGTTGTATAGAATGATATCTATAATCTAGATTGGGCGGTTGGTATTCAATCAAATAGTTTCAGAGTTTTTTATGTTTAGTCCCTCATGGGATTTGTCCAGCAGTGTAGTGTATCAAGGGATTAGTTGTCAATGCACTCTCGATCGTTGGCCTTTTCGTTCTTCGTCAATAACATAGGTTCTTCGGAAGTTTAGAGTTGTCTTAGTTAGAGTTCAATGGATGCCTCAACCTGTTGATGAATCTATGCATTGTGCAATTTTGGTTTCTGGGAATAGGTACCCTCAATGGTTCGTTGTGAAATTATTAATCATAGCAGGATCAAATTTGACAGATGTTCTTGGTTGTTGGAAGTTCGGATATTGGGTCAGCGTTGTGGAGTTCCTCAAGTGTGGCTTGGAATTTGCGCATCATCCAATTTTGGCGTGTCGGGATGGCGGGGTTGGTATCTGGATTGACCCGACCATAGTTTGACAGCATTTCTGATGGCAATGGAAGTTTTATCGAGTTATTGCATATAGGTGGGATTTGTTCAGATTCAATCGAGGTGCGGGATCTTGTATCGATCGTTCATAAGGATGTTTCTGTTAACGGTTGAGGTTCATTATTTCGTTAAATCTGTTGGTACCTCACCCTTTGGGTAAGGTTGTGAGGACGAAAGAATGCAGTAGATCCATGGTTGGTTATGTGTCTCCCCTTGGGGGCGTACATTGTGGTAGTGCCTCGATTATGGTCATGAGGGGTACAAGTGGACTGAGTAAGATAACATGAGACCACTTAATTAATATTGTTGGCATGGTTATCATTTGAGTTATAGCCTTCGAATTGGAACAAGAGTATAACTGTCTATCTCATTCTCTAGTTGTGTGCATGTTTTCGTCTGCTTTTACATTACTATCAGCCTATGTTGTGAAAGGAATTGTGCAAGATAGAAGGGTATAGCCCATGTTATGTTCAGTTAGCATTGAGAGGGATGTTGATTGGGTTCCTGTAAGTTGGTGGACTGATGGTTGGGTATCTTTAGGCCCCTATGGTGATGGTCGCGGGTCTTTAGGCCATTGATGTGATAACATCAAGATCGGTATAGTACTGTGAGCTTATCGTTTAGTGGTTAGCAGGTGTCACAATATATCTTTAACTAGTGGCTGTATGATTTACATGGGTAAGACCCGATAGTCGTTTGATTGAGACTCTTAGGTCTCGAATCATTAGCTTTCTTGGCATATTTAGGTGTTAGTGCATTGTGGGAGTCGGGAGACTCAGTGACTAGCTGGCTTGGATCATGTGTGTAGTTAAAGGTTTTTGGGAATAATAGTTGTGCATCAGTAGTCGCTTGCAGAGTGTTTGCATTATGAACCCCATTTGCTTGTGGGTTGTCTATCAGTAGTTCGGTTACCAACGTTGGGTATCGGTTATGGAATCTCAAGTCATGAAGTTCATTGTGAATGTCTCAAGTGATTTGTCAGGTGGGGGTACACCTGATCTTATATGGGATTTGGATGCAATGTGAGAATTTTTGGATTGACCATCCTTATGCTCGTGGGATCAGCAGGTTGGTGATGACTTGTCAGGAAGTCAAGTGCGTATTTAAGATTGTTAAGCGCAACCTACGAATTGGGGATTTGGTGAAATTCTCTATCAGTATATTTTGAGTATTCCTTCTGCATGGTAGACTGGTATTCCTAGTCAGAGACTAGGGAAGGGTACGATGAATAAATGATCAATAGTCCTAGGGAATAATTTATGGGGTTTAAATTGATGGGTTCATGTTTTCGGGAAGTTTCCTGCTTCGAGTGGTTATCTCTGTGATATGAGGTCTTCCAATTGACAAGAGTAAGGTGGTTGTTTCAATTCTCAGGCAGAGCAGTTGGGTTTCTTTCTTTAGCTGAGGGCAGAGTGTTAAGGTTCATTCTTTCGGAGGAATGAGTGATTTCTGCTAAGGTAGGGTTTGGATAGTAGGGTTGGGAGGCGGTCGTAGGTATGGGATGAATCTTCAGTCTTAATCAGAATTCAGGAAGTTCGGGCAGGATCGACTAGCATGGGAGAGGTAGTAGTAACGAATGATTTCGAGGACGAAATCTAATTTAAGTGGGGGAGAGTTGTAACATCCTGTTTTGAGAAAGTTTCTTATTTCGGGATTATGGGCGATAAATGGATCAAGTAAAGGCCTTGGGCTTCAATGGAATAAGGTTTAGACCCTATTGGATGGTGATAATATTGGTTATGCCATCCAAGCCCTTGATTGCGTTTTGGAGTCAAAGGTTAAAATGGCAAAAAGTGATGTTTCAAACTCCTTTTAAGAATTCAGGATTTAAGTTCAGAAGGTGTTAAGGAAAAGGAGAGTTGATAGGATTGTATATCTTCTCCTTACCTTTCCGTGGATATAAAGATCGTCGAAATCGAATTTGAAACAAAGAGGTTATGATTGTTAGGGTTTTAGGAAACGATAGAATCAAATAATTGATCCTTCATGTAGCGCATATTTCCAAAAATCTACGCTCAGTGTTAGTGGTTTACCCCCTCATTACCTATAACTGAAAGTTGGATGCTTGATAATATTGTTACGGAATCTCGACCCATCAAATGGATCATGTAACAACACCCAATTAATATGTAAAAGTTTTCAGCACAATGTCATTGATGCCAAAATACTTATTGGTCAACATGCTAGAAAGAGGGTATTTTTTCCAATGATTCCTCTAGGTCCGTCTGAAGATGCAATGTTCACATTCAAGCTAAAGAGAAAACAATTTCCAATTCGATTATTTTTTGCGATGAGCCGATGACAATCAATAAAGCTCACGAAAAACAATTTCAAATGTAGGTATTATCATCTAGAATCGATTTTCTCGCATGGCCAACTTTATGCAACATTATCAAGGGGGATATTAAATGGTAATACACAAATTCATTTAAATGATAAACGTACGTTTAATAGCTACATACTTTCATTTGTTTATTTCTTGCACCTATACATTCTAAAATTTTATTTAAATACTAAACATACATCTAATAGCTGTATATTTTCATTTATTTGTTTCTTGCACATGTACATTGTAAAATTTCATTTAAATGCTAAAAGTACATTGCTATTATTAGATTTAACTATTTTTATGAAAATTGCATCTGCAAACATAAGGATTTTCTTTTTCTTAAAATGTGTTTTTAATGACCACCTCTTGAAGTGATAAATAATTGTGTTATTTTCCTTAAAAGAGAAACTTTGGTTTTAGGGTTTTGGACATTTACTATAGATTTTAGGGTTTTGGACTTAGATATTTATAATGCATTTTGTGTTCTTTGGAATCAAATATGTTATCATGAAAGAGAAGTGATATATTTTCGACACATTAGATCCAACATATGAAACTTAATTTTGAAAAAACTATTCACACTCGTCGCGTAATAATTGTTTAGATGTAGTAAACTATTTGAGCAAACAAACTAATCGCCTCTAAAAACTAATTTTTGAAAAAAAAATGCACATGTTGCTTGGCACGGATAAACGACTACTATATATATATATATATATATATATATATATATATATATATATATATA